GTAGGAGGGAATGGACGGATGAAAAAGGTGCAGCCTCGTAGTTAGCTGATGCATGTAGCCACGTGTGCAACGGGATAGCTATATGGCTATGGTACATTAGATGGCCGAACACGGGAAGTTCCGTAGAATAAATCAGGGACGCGTTGGGGCCGTGTAGACGAGGAAAATCGGCGTGCAACAACGGCGATGCATCCAACGCGCTCTCGTACTGCAAATGTGTTCGGTGCACGTAATGCAGCAAAGGGAACAAGAAACCCACTGTGCGGCCATACGTATGCCGCAAAATGTAAAAAATTCTACGCGAGATTTCGCAAAATCTTTTTCGCTTTAGCTGTTGTTGCTATTGTAATCCGTAGTTGTCGCGACATTATAGTGCCAATTTTTTTTTTCAAATGAACGTGAAATATGAAACTTACGTGTCGTTACAAAAAGGAACGGCGTACATGACAGATTTTAACGTATATGTATTAAAAAATTTCAGATATATCTATAAAAGATAAAAAAAAAACACTACGGTATATAAAATACATTAACGAACTTAACTGGGTCTTTGATATATTATTAATTGAAAATAAATATTGATATTGTACGGTCTACTTTTTCAGTAATTTTCAGTAATTAATAATTTAATTCAGAATTTAAAACAGAATTCATTAAATTGTTTGAACGTAAAATATTAATTCGTTAACAAAGTATTCGTAAAGATATTAAAATTAAAACGAAACAGATTATCAATAGAGTTGTCATGCATTGTATTTAATGATAAAATATTGTCTTTAAGTCTTTTTGTTATAATTCTGTAATGTCTTAGAAAGAATTGTGGAAAGTCGATAAAAAAATACCATTTTTAATTACTAATAGCTAATATACAATTAGCTTTTAACAAACGAAACGAAATGATAGTATTAATATAATGATAATGTGATAATACGGATACTGTGCGATGGGAGTAATTTCGAGTATAACGAGTTTCGATTAGAATAATCGAACTACAAATGACGACGGATCCTTTTACAGTTATTAATATGCAAATAATGGTTTATATAACTTGAAATTCCCTCGGTGTTGGTGAGCAATAATTGTTTCTTATTACAATTTTATCTTATGTATATATGTATATCTATAATTATAAAGCAAATCAAATATAAAATAAAAATAAAATACTACGTTTATAAAATATTATTTAAAAACCTATTTTTCTTTTAATTTTTTTGTTCATTTGTTGTTTATTATGGACAGGAAGTTTAAATATTTTTTAAATCTATAATATTAAAATCTTAAGAAAAGTGTTTGTCTGTTTGTTTATTATTCATATATACTTTTATATTTGAATGACTCAAGATAATAATGCAACAAAAGTAAAATAAAAGAAAAATATAAATTATTTAAAGATAGAGCACAAAATAAATATATTTGGAGTAGTTGATATATAGTAGTTCATATATTATTAGAAGAAATAATTTGTTTATATAATAATGTTTTAAAACAAATTTCTTTAAAAGTAACAATACATATAGACAAGAGAGAAAGATTCATTAAAAGAAATGTGAATATATATTCGACGAATCAGGGAATAACTTTAGAGGACATTCCAGCAAAGCTGCGGCAGTTCTCGATAATTAAAACGCAACCACTGTAACGTCTGCATTGACGTTTACTTGAACTACTGCGCCATCCAGCAAACGAGCGCTTCGATCCGAGTTTCTCGCAAACGTCTCATCTACTAATTACTATCTTAAAATAGTCCATCTTGTGGTCGCTGTGATGTTTCACCACTGATTTTCAGACATCAAAAACGTCGCGATATGAGTGTAGTACGTAAAATTTCACTCAACGATTCTTAAAATCTCATAGACTCTAAAATTAAAGTGCGTAAGTGTGTAAACGACAAGCAAAAAACATATTAAATAATATTATTTTAATAATAATATTATTTTCGGTAGAAAATCGACTTCAAGAAATCAAATGATTAAATTAAAATTAGTCTATAATTAATTTATAATCTATAATCTCAATTGAATCTTTTTAGTTTGCGTATCTCTCTAAAGTTTTATATGTATCTAAGCGATTTTGAATATTTAAATATTGAATATTTTCATGTAAAATTTTCGACACTTAATTTATTCAGAATTGAAAGAAACTTTCATTTAAAAAGATCACTCTTTAAAAATATTTGATAATGCCTTTCTTGTTAATGCCTACGTTATCAGAATAATGTGTGGCACTTTAATCCGAGAACGTTACAAATGCAATATCCATCGCGAGCATTGTGAGTATATATATATATACGAAAATACATTTCCACCTATCCCCTGATCCTCGATTCGAGAGTAACTCGAGATGTAACATCGATATCTGAACGCAGCAGGCATCGGAGCCTCTGATCTAATTATGAATGCGCCAACAATACCGGCATTCGTATTTATACGTTCCCTTACTGTTATCAAGCAAACAGGAATCCGGTGCAAATGCAGCATTACGATTATAAGCGGGACGCGACGAGGTAATAGCGCTTGTATGCCGATATCAATATTAATTATAACTGGACCACGAACATGAATGCTAGCATTGAATGATCCATCTACTCATCGTAGCAAGTTTAATGCATACTATCCGTCGATCGAAAATAATATCGGTTGCATCATCCTACCGATAAAGATTTTTATAGTTACAACGTATAGTTACAATAATAATCTCTATGAAAAATTCTAAAAATATTGTAATAGTGGTATTAGTATTTTATAATATATAATATATAATAATAATTAGTATTTTATA